TAATATATTTTATATATACATGTATATATAGAGAGAGAGAAACAGACAGACAGACAGACAGACAAAGAGACAGACAGACAGAGAGACAGACAGACAGACAGACAGACAGACAGACAGACAGCACCGTACAATAATACATTATTTCTGCCATTGCACTAGGCAGGCACACACTCAATTGATGCTTGCGGTGCAAAGTCCGGACACACACACACGAGTACGTCCGCACCTAGCTGCACTCGATGGACCACGTGACACACTCACTCACTCTGCCAGGCCAGGCCGGCACCACAGCTTACACACAGGGAACCAACCCACTTCTGACTGACTGCTTCCTGATTTACGCGGCAGCATCATCGGTATTCTAGATCTACATTACAGGAGGTCTACAGCATTATCATAGGCTGGCACGCTTAATCCGAGTTTGTTAAGTAGTTGGGTTTTTTTCCCTATCTATAATCTATATTAGAGTTTTGCTGTACTTGCCCCTCCCTCTAAAGTACTAAATAAATAAATACATTTGGAAAAAAAAATAATAAATGAAAAAATAAACGAATGCATAAGTTAGTTAACCTTTTTTTAAAAAAAAATAAAAAAGGTCACCATATAAGTACCAAAGAGAAGAGGTGTTACTACTAAAGAGCAACATGTACAAAGAAATTTAATGAAGTGGAAGAGCCAGATCTGAGGGGATTATGATTTTCCATTCATTCCTTTGCTCGGGTGCTCTTTTAAATACAAAAGCTACGTTACCTAAGTATGTTTGAAGGGAAAGAGCGGGCACACAACACCACAGCATCTGCCAACCACCCCCTTTAGACGTTAGCATCAGAGTCCCCCCCCCCCCCTCTCTCTCTCTCTCTCTCTCTGTATATATACATATCAAGGATTACTATAGACAGCATTACAGTAGTCCTTGATATTATATATAGCGCTGTACAGCATACCACAGGCTGTTCGGCTTACTCTAAACGAGACAGCACTTAACATAACACTACAGGACCAGTGGTTAGTTATAGTGAAAAATAGTGTGTGGACATAATGGATGGGGTGGGCCGTGGCAGAAATTATTGTTCATGGAATCAGAGCGGGGGCG